AAATTTCTAAAATAATTCTAATAAAAATACTGAAAACATATTTTGATGTTTCCATATTTTTACTTATTTTTATTTTCATTGTCAGTAAAGGAAAATTCTACAACGCTCGACGAGCACCAATGAACACAACTAACGATGATCACCATTAATTTATTTTATAAAAATTTAAAATTCTAAAGGGTTGAACATATAATTATAAATTAGTTAAAAATTTAAAGGTAAACTATTTATTATAAAGGGTAAACTATAACAATGACCACCGAACTATTGCCCCTTTTTATTTTGACCACCATTTTTGAAATTTTGTCAATCAAGTCACTCAACTATTTAAACGTATTCAATTAAGTCACTTGTCGTTAATATTTAACGGAGAAGCTAATGTGGCAGTTAAAATATTTGGTATAGTTACACATTTTGGTCAATGTTACTTATATATTCTATCAATTTGGTCCCCATTTTAATATATTAAAATAAACTTAACCCCTCAAATCAAATGGTGTCATGTGTAATGACATGTGTTATCCGATTGGATGGTTAAATTTATTTTAATTTAATATATTTTTCTCACCAATTAAAGGGTAAAACATGTCACCCCTCTAAAAGAAATAAATTTTGGGCGTTAAATGATACACATGGGAATTAAACATGGGGTTATGTGTTGAAAAACAAGGCTCCATTGAGCCAAAGTAGTTATTGGTTCAAACTTGACTATATATATTATATGTTGTATACTGTAAACTTAAATTTTAGTATTATATCTTAACTTAAATTCACATATTAAATTAATTTTACATCCCAAAATTAAAAAATTTTTATCTTTAACTTATTAAATATGTTTTATTCTTTGTAACCTAAAAATATATTTTATTATTTTAATAATTAACTATTTTTTATCTTAACTTATTAAATGTTTTATTTCATAACCTAAAATATATTTTATTCGTATTTTAATTTAAAATTATATTTTAATCTTAACATATATTTTTAATGTTAAGATGTAAAATTAATTTAATATGTGAATTTAATTTAAGATATATAAAATATTAAGAATTTACTTTCACTAATATACAACATAAATAACATATGTAATCAAATTTGAACCAACTAACTACTTTGGCTCAATGTTGAGCCTTGCTTCTTCAACCCAGAACCCTCGTTTGATTCCTTGGGTATCATTTTTGCGCCCAAAATTTTCTTTCCTCTAGAGGGTGAGACATGTTACCCTATGATTGATGAGAAAATATATTAAATTAAAAATAAATTAAAATAAATTTAATCATCCAATTGGATGGTGACACATGTTATTATACTTGACACCAGTGACACATGGCACTATTTGATTTGAGGGGTTAAGTTTATTTTAATTTATTAAAATTAGGATCAAATTGATAGAATATATAAGTAACAATGACCAAATGTGTAATTATATAAAATATTTTAACTGCCACATCGGTATATCCGTTAAATATTAACGACAAGTGGCTTTATTGAATGCATTTAAATAGTTGAGTGACCTAATTGACAAATTTTCAAATATGGTGGTCAAAATGGAAATGGGCAATAGTTAGGTGGTCACTAGTATAGTTTATCCTTTATTTTAAATAATTTACCTTTAAAGTTTTAAATAATTTATAATTTAATGCATTTGAATTAAAAATATGAAACTAGACTGATATTGCTTTTCTAAAAAAAAAAGAAAATGGCAACAAAATTAAAATGAGAAAAGGATGAAGAAAACAAACAAATGAGATAAAAGATTTTTTTAAGTAGATGGTTGGAATTATAATTTAATTTAATTTTTTTCATTATAAAAAAAAACTTTAATCGCTTTGAATTTTTAAATTATTGGCTTATAATAGGCAAAATCTTTTATATCAATTCTTTCCATCACTTCTTTTGATCCATTCAATTATTTTATGTCAAATCATCAATTTTTCCATTGACAATCAATTGGTATGGTGAGAAGTTTAAATCCTACCGATTGTAAATATAACAAACTGAGTTGAGAGAGTTGTCCTTACATCTATAGTATTTGATTTAGATTAATCGATCAATAGATCAGACACAGTTGGTTATAAAAAAAATATCAATTTTCCACCTCATATTTGTAAAGTTTTGCTTTCCTTATTAGAATTCTTTTCCTTTGTAGGTAAAAAAAAAGATGAATTTAGATTCACCATTAACGCTGGCCTGCAAAACCACATTCTTACATGGTTTTGGATGATGAAACCAAAGGTTAAAAAAGTACGGGGCTTGTTCAATAATTCATTAATTCCTTCTCTTCTTTGATCAAATTTCGCAAAGTAAAAAAAAAGTTTTATTCGCTATCACCATGCCACATGAGCGGCTCTGAATCTGATCTTACATATATAATCTTGGTTACGCTACATAAATGACCACATAACTGAGGGCCGGGTCACAGATGACCACTATTTTTAAATTTGTATTTAAATAATTTCATATATATCTACAAACATTTAATTTGTCACCCTACTTTGTTTTCTTCTATTTTGGTCACTACCTGTATATGATTTGTTTCTTTGGATTTTGATTTTATGCAATTTGATCCTGATTCTGTTTTTAATTTGTCCAATGCCTCAATTTGAGCATTAAATTTAAAATAATTTATTCTAGTCATGTATTAAATTTATGGATTAAATCCCCTAGATTTTAGAATTAATCAATTTGGTCACCAAGATTAACTTTAATTCTTAATTTTTAATTAGGTCTAAATTTCAATTTAATTTAATAAATTTATTTCTCCATTCAATTGTGACACATTCCACATTTTGTATATGCAATTTATTTAATTTAATAAATTTTCAATCCAATCAAAAGGTGACACATGTCCCTTTTGAATTGAAGTGAAATAAATGAAGATAAGTTTTGACACCTAAGGGTAATCAACTTGCCTTAACTATTATGCTAATTTCACAATTGTTATTAAGATAATACATATGTTATATAACTTGTTCAAGTTTAAGCATGAAAATTTTAACCCAAAATGAATTAGTAACCAAGCAAGCCTTAACGAATAAGCTAAATCTAATATTCAAGAATCAATAATAATATATATATATATATATATAATATATATATATATATTAATGATAAAAAATAAAAACGAATAAGTGAGAACTTATAATATAGGCTAATTGAGAATATGACAACACTTAATCACTAAAATAAACCTACTAGTTTATTATAATTCATTTAAGATTTTAATATTTTAAATTAAATTTATTTGTTTTCATTTTATTTTTATTGATTATATATATGAAATCATTAAATATTAATTTAATATTTAAATTATAATCATAAGAAAAAATATTTAAGATTCGGATCATAAGTTTATCTTTTGATTTTAAATTGTGCTTGTGAGTTCGAGTATGTTAAATATTTTTACTTTAATTTTAAATATAATTCATATATAATCATGAATAAATAAATATAAAATAATTTAATTTAAAAATATTAAAATCTAAATTAATTATAAATAATATATTAGAGTTTTTTTAGCAATTTAAGTGTTATCATATTCCCAATTGACCTAGATTTAAGTCCTCAATTGTCTATTTTTATTTCTATCATTAACTATAATATATAAATATAAAAAATAGTTTAATTGATTCCTAAATATTGGATTTAGCCTGTTGGTTAAGGCTTTGCTTGGTTACTAATTGATATTGGGTTCAAATGCAATTAAGTTATTTTAGTTTTATTTTTCTGCTTAAACTTGAACAAGTTATATAACATATTATCTTGATAAAAAATGTGAGAATTAACGAATGATTAATTCTAAAATATGGGGATTTAATCTATAAATTTAATACATGACTAGAATAAAGATTTTAAAGTTTATGCTCGAATTAAGGCATTAGACAAATTTAAAACAGAATCAAGATCGAATTGCATTAAATGAAAATCCAAGGAAACAAATCACATACAAGTAGTGACCAAAATGGAAGAAAAAAGTAGGGTGCCAACGTCGTGAATACGCGTAACTTTACAAGGACCCGCACCCTAATTATACCAATTTTATTAACTGCCACGTAAACACTTTCGTTAAATGTTAACGATAGGTGGCCATATTGAAACCATTTAAATAATTCATGGTCATATTGATGCAAATTTGAAAAAGTGGTCATTTCGACTTGACCCTTAGTTATGTGATCATTTATGTAGTTTACCCTATAATCTTTGACCCAACTTTGATTATCAATTCCTCCATGGAAGAGTTGTATATCTCATCACCTGATAAGTTGAAATCTGATCCAAGCTTTTCGTTTGATAACTCTGAACTCTCCTCTTAATCTTGTTTTCAAAATCTCCAACTTGAATAAACTAGAAGAAGAAAAACTTTGACGAAAGGTGAAAACTTTTAAAACTTCTTTATGGAAAAGGGTAGAGCTTTTTCTTCACTTTGGAAAATTTATCAAAGAATAAAAAATATATGAATCATTGAACAAGCCTCATAATTCTCAAACTTTTGGTTTCATCATCCAAAACCAAGCAAGAATGTGGTTTTATAGGCCAGGATTAGTGGAATCTAAATTTATCTTTTTTCACCTAAAAAGGAAAGGAAACTTTTTCAAATATGAAGTGGAAAAATTGATGATGTGGCACAATAATTGGATGGAGCTACAAGTGTGGTGATGGAAAGGGTTCATATAATTTCTCCAAATTTTAATGTTCAATTATAATCAAACTTTAAAAGTAAAAAGGAAAATAACATTAAGCATAGCTAGTAACTTCCCACACAATTACATCAATAAAACCCAATTTTATTATCGAAGTTGATCAATGAAATCACTACAAGCAACACTATAAAAAGTTGAATGTAAAAATATGATATAAAATTACAAATATCAAAAAAGGCAATTAATAAAACAAAACATGAACAAATTGAACAAGATGTTCAACTTGATGATCAAACGATCCATCACCCAATCAAAATCAAAATTCTAAAATAATTATAAAAAAAGGAACATTTTGTTGGATTATAATAAACCATGGTGGCGTATTAAAAGTGAAGTTTTTATCTTAGGAGTCATCTTGGTTTCGGCATTATCCTGAGATGAAGAGCTATTATTTCTCTTGTGGGAAGCAGCTTGGAGAACATGGGCGTAGTTCCCTTTGACCATGAAAAGCTGAGCGAAATGGTGCTTGCAATACAGGACCCCATCCAGAGCAGCATACGATGAGTGTGTCAAAGCGCACCCTCCGTGGGCGCACCTAAAGCACGACTTGTGGTAACATTCCCCTTCCATCGACATCTATCCCCATAATGTCACATCATGGATCGAGGAAAATTTTGATATAATCAATAAAATAAATAATTAACCGAAGAAAATTTATGTTTTATGTAGATCCGTTACTGCCATTATCAGTGAATTACAAAGCAAATTCAAGAGTCCAAGATTTAAAAGAGTAAATTTACTAACCTTCTCTAACGGATACACTGTCTTGTGACATGCAGCACACTTGTCTTGGGTTCCACTAAAGAAGGATGAATGTTTGTTGGGAGCCTTGGTCTAATAAACACAATGGAGAAGAACATGGATGGTGAGTGTTGTTTTGGGCTTGAAATGAAAATTTGATCATGTTATAAAGGGAAAGAAAACATACATATTCACTGTTCTTCTCCTTTGCTGCACAAGTGATCATCAAGAAAATTAATCTTGTTAGCATTGCTCATATAGCTAAGAATGAAGAATTCAAAAGAAGAAGAGATATGGCGGGGATAAACAGTTAGGCTATTATTGGAATTGATTAATATAATTAGTAATAAATTGTTAGGAACTTGATCAATATAAAATAAAATAGGAACAAGAGACGAGATTTAACGTGATCACTTTGTCTAGCTTCAAAGATGAGAAGAATGATAATTCACTATCAATGTAGAGACCACGAAAGATAAACATATAATATCACATGTATCCTAAAATTCAGTATCTATATCGATATCCGAAGTATCCCAAATGACTCCTCCAATATCCTACAAAACTTACCTTTTCAACATAATCCCAAAAGTTACATAAATCACAAAAGGATTATTATCTCTAAAATAATTTTCTCACATAATTCTAACTGTTAAGACATACTCAATATTTATGGAGTCAACTACTTCGTCACCAAAAAACTTTATTCCATAAGATTTCTATCCTTCAAATAAATATTTACTTATTAAATAAATATAAATACCAAATAATCTTCAACCGATATAATTACATTAAAATCAAACTTAATTACCCATTATAGTTTAGATCAAAATAATATAAATGATAACATATTTAAATCAGGGGACTAAGATATAACCAAAATTAAGTATGTGCAAATAAGATAAAGTAAAATATTTTTGGACATACGACTAATTCGACCTTACCCGTGAACAAGTCTAAAGAGATGGATTTTTTCTTACATGATTGAAAATTCTTGCTGTAATTGCCAGATTCCTTGAATAGTTGCTCGAAGTGAGTCTTACAGTAGAGAACTCCATCCATGGAGGAATAGTTACTCATCTACGAATGGACACAAGATTTTATGGTAAACACAAGAAAAATAAAAGAGGCAAAAACTTTCTAGAAAGAAGAAAGATACCACAAGGTTCCCCCTGCAATGGGTGCATTTGAAGCAAGTTTTATGGTAAGGAATTCCTTCGAGAGTCAACATATCCACAACATAAACAGTTTTGTCACAAGCCTTGCATTTATCCAATGTTCCTGTGAACGCCATTTTCTTTTGATTTTTTAGAAAATTTTTTGAATGTTTACGAGAAACAGTGAAAATATTGGACAAGAAAACAAACTTGTCCTCTGTAATTAAAAATTGAAACTTTTTACTCTGTTATATATCAGATACGTGATTGGATATTCCTATATTAATGTGAGAAATTTTAGATGTTAATGTCCTCAAACCCTGTTGAACCGGAGAGAAACCAGGCTCATGTTTCTTGACTGCCAAATTTGGATGAGCCAAGACAAGATTAGCATTCTCTATTTTCTTAATTGAATTAGTATCACTAGTTAACTATTTTTATTTTAAATTTTCAATGATTTTTTTGTTTAATGATTTACATATCCTTGTTTAGTTTTATAATACCTGATGGATGCCGTGTTTATAATTTTTTGAAAATTATATTTAAAATACTTAAAATTATTAGTTTTTTAAAAAAAATCTAAATTTCTTTAAAAAAATTTAAAAAGAAAACTCATAAAAAATTTTAATTCTAAACTCTTTGGTTGTTGTCATTGTCGTCGAATGGAAGAAGAAAAGCCGTCAAAGTCGTCTTAACTCGTCGGTTGTTGTCATCATCAACGAATGGAAGAAAAAATGCCGTCAAAGTCGTCATCACATGATATAACAAAGTTAAACATCAATTAACTGTTTGTGATTTGTATTATAGATTTAATTATTAAGATTAGGGATTTGGGTATTCACAATTTAAAGATTTAGGACGACAATAAGAGCACCATTAAGTGGTCCGAGGCAGGTAGGGCAACGTTTGATGACGACAATCAGAGATGTCCGGCTAAAGATGGTTAAATTTTAGAAAAGTATAAATAACAAGACATAATTTAAATATTTATTTTTAATTAAACCTTTCTTTCAGAAATTTTGATTTATATTTATTTAATAATATTTATTTAATAATTGTATTTATTTAAGGAGTAGATAATAAAATATAAGTATTTTTTAAAAGGGTTAAAATATAAGTAATTTTTTTAGATATTTATCTAAAGAGTTAACTTCTAGACCACAATAATTTAAAACACAGAGTTTGAATTGATGATGAACGAGGACCGCGCGAACACAACCCACCACATCCACAGTTTATAAAGTAGGCTATCCAACTTAGGGAAACCTTAGACGAGCACTCATCCCAAGTGCAATAGAAGTCACTAGCCTAGGCCATAGGCTTTACTGAGATCACCCATACCTTGTCCAGATAAGTATGGTGCAAGTGTGATAGTTGCCTCTTATTTATTCAGTCTAGTTTCGAGCCCCCTCTTTCTTACTCGATATGGGATTATACTTCATCATGACTCCACCCTTAAGACTGATGGGGCTGAAGAATATATGAAACTTGCTAACATATTAGAATTTTATTCCTTTTTCTTTATCTCGCTCACTGATTAAAAAAAGATAAACTACGTGTTTAGTACTTAAATTATCAGTTTTAGTTTGTTTTAATATCTAAACTTTCATTTTTTTAAAACTATACTAAAAGTTTAGCTTTTGTTTCATTTTAGTACATACCGTTAAAATCTTAACTGACGGGCTGACGTGACGTAGCTCTGGTGGACGGATGACCAATCCAAATGATTGATCAGGAGAGAATGAAGTGTTGACCAACATAGTTCAGTTTCAGGCCCATCAGACGGTGGACCACGAAGATCGGAGGATGAAGAAATCAAATAGTCCATCATCAATTTGGGGGAGATTGAGATTGTAGACACTAATTTTTCCATTTTAAAATTATTATTATTATTATTATTATTATTAAACAAATATTACAGGCCCAAAATATTTATAAACTGGAGCCTAATTATAACCCTAAACCCGATTAGGGTTTCTATCCCAGCACCCAACCGCCAACGATCTCAGCCGTTGGATCTGAGAGATCCAACGGTCTATAGAAGTTCCACCATGAAGCCCTAGGGTTTTATAACCCTAGGTTATCCACGCCGCCACCTCATCAAGGATGAACAGCCACTGCCGATGCCTCCATTGCCAGGTGGTCCAACCAGCCGCTACCGACGTTGCTGCTGGCACGACACCACCCTCGTCGAAGCCTCCAGGAGGCTAGCTGCCCCTCCACACGTCGAGCTCTATGGTGAGTCACCACCATAACTATGGTGACTCACCTAGGCAACCTCCTTTGGACCGGTACGAGCAGAACGTCGGTGGTGGCTATAAAAGCCACCATCCCTGCAAAATAAAAAAAGAACAAAAAAAGAAGAACAAGAGCAACACCAAGCAACCAACGACAACCAACAACAAGCACAACCATGACAATAGCAACAACAAGACAACAAACCAAAGGAAAAGAAAAGAGATCAAGAGAACTTACCCCAACCGTCGGAATCTCCATTTTCGAGAGCCGAATCGCCGAAGTCACGACCTCAAATCTAGGATGATTAGAGAGTTTTCAAGGTAAACAACTCTCAGTTTCGACTTTAGGGGAAGCTAACCTTCGATTTGTGCTAGTTTTCCAAATTTCGGCCACCGTTATCGGCGCCGGAGCACGACCGTTGGTCGATGACTGGTTTCCCTCAGACGAGGGAAACTTAGAGAGAAGAGAGAGGAAATCTCTCCTAGAGAGAGAAGAAAAAAAAGAAATGAGAGTTTAGGCCTAAAATGGCCGATTTGGGGGTATATAAATCCCTCCCCAAACGATGTCATTTTGGGGAGAGACCCCTACGTAATTTTACACGTGGAAAAATCCTTTCCGCAATACTCATAGTTCTGTAACTTTACATTCTAGTCACTTAAATCAATTTATAATCATTTTAATTCGGTCTCTAATTTTTTTATTTATAATTTAGTCACTGTCATATTTTATATATTTTAGGTAAAATAACCGATTTAGTCAATGTAATTTTAATAATTAATATTTTAATCCCGAATAATTAATTAGGTTAAATTACACTATTAGTAATTATATTTTTATAATAATTCGAATTATTCCATTAAATTAGATATTTACATTTTATTCCTGTTATTTTAATTTTATTTATTTTACTCACTGTTTAGTTATATTTAATTTTTATTATTACCCTTTTAATTTCAATATGTTTAAATTAGTACTTTAATTATTATTTTATTATTCGTATAAATATATATGTTTGATTAAATAATAATGTTTATTTATTTTTAAATATTAAGAAAGGGCGGTCTTAAAATAACTAGACGTATTCTGGTATTTAAAATAAATAAATATCTTATTTATAAAATATATATATTACTTCATTTTTTTATTTTTAAGAAAAAATTATTATATCTTCTTAATATTTATTTATTTTTAATATCAAAGAAATGGATTGTCTTAAAGCAACTAGATCCCTTTCTATATTTTTAATAAAACATTTAATTTATAATTCTAACTGCCAGAGGTCTTTCACGAAGTTGCTCTCAACCTGGCGTTGGGGTAGCCTACTACCTACCCCCCTTACCCATTACATATGAAATATAAGTTTGACATTTTTTTAATTTAGTTTTATTTATATTATTTTCTTATCATATTTTTTATATTTATTTATTTGTTACTATTAAAGAAAGTGGCTGTCTTAAAGCAACTAGAAGTCATTTTCTGATATTTTTAAATAACTAAATATCTTACTTTTATAATTATATATTAATTTAATTTATTAGTTTTAGAAAAATATTTTATTAATATTTATTTATTTTTTAATATTAAGAAAGGGTCTGTCTTAAAGCAACTAGAAGTCATTTTCTGATATTTCTAAGTAAATAAATATCTTATTTATAAAAATAAAAAATATATTTATAAAAATCAATATATTTTATTGGAATTATACTAATAAATTTGAAATCACAGGATTATGAATTAAATATATTCTTGAATTCTTAAATTTTCAATAATAGAGACAATTTATAATCGTCATTAACCAATTTTAGGTGTTGTGGGTGCTAATCCTTCCCCAAACGTAACTGACCACGAATCCCTTTTTATTATTAAAAAGAATGATTTTTTTGTTAAACGCAGACCAGTTTATCTTTTAACTGATATTTTCTTAAAAACTCTTTTAAAAGATGATTTTTAGGTATTCGACCTACCTAATCCAAAAGGTCGATGGCGACTCCCAAAACATTTTTAAAAAAATCAAAATCATTTATTTATCCACATTATTTTTTCCGCCAAGGAAAATTTCGTGCCCGGGCGAAAACCGGTTACGACAGAGTGTTTCGGTGAAACGTGTTAGAATGTTAATGGAATTAGTTAATATTTGTTATTTTGTTATTAGGTAGTTACACTTTGGTTAGTTTGTTAGCAAGGCTTAATGGACTACATAAATCTCCTATCTCCTATTAATAGACTAAAAGTGCATTTCTTGTAATTCATTTTGACGCTTAGTAAAAAAAACCTAATACCATTTAGTTGTTATCACCATAGGCTTGTGTTTCTCTTCTTCATTCACTACTTCCGTTCAGTGGTGCCCAACCACTGCGCTGGAGCATCAATTTCAACATGGTATCATTTGTTGATGATCCTGCGACCATTTTGTTTCTCTTCCGCTTCGCTAAGCTACGTTCGTCCTAACATGGTGTTTCCTCAACCATCGAAAATTTTTGTTGCTTACTGGTTCGTCCTCCATCTGTTCCTTAACCGTCGTCATCGCTACTACTGGTGAATATTTCTATTTCGTTGAAGTTTTGGGTCTTTAGGTCAGCGTGTCTATTTGTTTCTGATAAAGGTTCATGTTTTCCCTCTTTGTTGATGCTTCAAGTCAATACGTCTCTCTTCGATTTTATTTCTTGGAATCACAACGAAGAGTAAATCGATCACCTATATTAAAAAGTGTTGCATATTTCAGTTTTGAGAAGAATCTGTTGATACTATTAGTTGATTACTGTTAGATTAGTCTACTGTTTGTGGTTCGATTATTGAGTCATTGATATGGTGATTCTCTTCAAATTGAATCTGATCTCGTCTCTTGCACGTGTTGTTTTCAGTTTCTGGTAAGGTATCTAGATTTACTCCACATTACTCTATGATTTTTAAGTTTATTGAATCATGGTATAATTGTTGCGGTTTGAGGTTTGAATGAGGTTATTGTATCTGAGATAGTCTTGAAGGACTTTTTAGTTTACTGAAAGTTGATTTTACCCTGAGAGTTGTTCTTACTTTACTCTTTGTTGGTTTAAATCGACCGCTTCAATCTTCTTAGATGACATGTTCTGCTACTCATATTTCTATGTGTGCTGCTGATGGTTTGGTGCTGAGTTGGTTATTGACTGCTTGATACAACTGAATTGAATTGTTGATTGCAGGAAATGGAATTGTGTTGTTTTTAAGAGAAGAACAATTTTGCAGTTTTGATTCATGAATAAATTTCAGATGAAAGAATGAGAAAGAAAATAAAGTAGAACGAAAGGAAACATAACACTTACGATTCAATGAAAAGAAGAATAACACTTTCAATTCTCGATAAATCACCTAAGTAAAAGGAAAATATTTTCTAAAGAACTTTAGATGAAAGGGTGAAGAAATAAAGATAAAATGGTGAATGAAGAGAAAACGTATTTCTTTATTAAGAACAATATCGTTGTATCAAATCAAGTATCAGAATTACTGCTCGCATATAACACTTTGTTTGTCTTTTGTTCACGAGTCAACTACAAAGAAGATCACGAAGGTTGAAGAAGTAGAGTGAATGTTAGAATGTTAATAGAATTGATTAATATTTGTTATTATATAGTCACACTTTAGTTAGTTTGTTAGCAAGGCTTAATGGACTATAAACCTCCTATTATAATGAGCTAAAAGTGCATTTTTGTTATTCATTTGACTCTTAGTAAAAAAAAACTTAGTATCATTTACTTGTTATCACCATAGGCTTCCGTTTCTTTTCTTCATTCATTGTTTCCTTTCAGTGGTGCCCGACCACTGTACCAAAGCATCAACATTTCAACAACGGAGGTCGAAATAGAGTTCAGGTGGTCGAAAATGGGCAAACTGAAAAGTTTAGGTTTCATCGGCTGACAAATACGACGGTCGGCAAACTCGTCCATTAAATTTTTAATGGTTTGGTACTAAAATGAAACAAAAACTAAATGCTAGGTATGATTTTGTTTAAAAAAATAAAAGTTTAGATACTAAAACAAACTAAAAATGATAATTTAAGTACTAAACACAATTTACAATAAGAAAATTATAAATCAGAAGTGGTCTCTCCTTCGAATGGTCATAAACTATGATATCAGAGTCTGCA